ACAAATCTGAAAGGTGAAAAATACTCGTCCTGCCCCTGAGCTGTTTCCTCTAAGTAACTGAGCAGTTTAGTTGGATAGCTCTGTCTTAATATCTTGAAATAAGCTTTTTTTAAAGCCAGCATTGACCAGAAATACATCTGCTACATCTCCCATTAAGCATGCCAATAATCCATGGGAATTCCCTGTCAGAAAGTGCGAGCGTTCAGAATTCAAGATGGCAGCTCCTCACTGCAACTCATCAGTGAGTAACAAACACTCTCCTGTCTTTACTTTCAGTGTTATTTCTGTTTTATTTATTTCAGATTTAGTCTGTCCTACATTTAGTTCTTTTCAGTGTTTATAAGAGGATGTGGTAAAACACTGTTTAGTTAAAGTTAAACATGAAACGCTGAAGTTAATTACAACTGGCCCTTTAAGGGACACCATAACGCTCACGTGGCCCTGTGTGAAAATGAGTTTGTGACACCCCTGCACCCCTGTCTCCTCTCAATGTAGAGGTGCAGTGGCTCTACTCCGAGTCTCTCTTGGATAACCGAACATCTCACCCCATCTCTAAGGGAGAGTCCCACTAAACTGTGGAGAAAACTCATGTTGACTGCCTGTATTCAGGAACTGTGTGCCTCTAACAAAATATCAAACTCATTGGTTGTTTGGGTGCTAATGTAACTCAAATTCCTCAGTTATGACGGCCGGTCATCAAACTCCTGACAGATTTGATTTTAATGTTTGTCATCACGTACAGAAAATCACATGGCTCGAAAAAAAAAGTTTGACAACAGATCATAGAGTTTCTCCTCTGTTTTGTGCAGCCGATGCAGGAGAAACCATTTGCATGACTATGGTTTATGTGGGTGTGTACAAAACAACAACAAAATCAGTTTTGATGGAATATGTATGACCGTGCGTCCGTTCGTGCACAAACTTCTGTGTCAGTGTTTCTGCACTGAACTACACCACAGTGGGCGTCCCGACGCCTCTGCCGAGCAACTAATTAAAATGGTGCAAGCAAGTGTGAGAGAACCGGTAATTTCAGCCAGCTGTTCTCTCTTCTCTGCGCTCTAATCCGCCGTAAAGACTCTCAGATCCCGCTTGTTCATTACAATACAAACTATCAGACAGAAAGGAAGGAAGAAATGAGAGAAAAGGCATGAAAAGCAGGAAATGAAAGTCAAACAGCACAAATAACTGGAAGTAAATAGTTATTGTGCTTCTTTTTTTTTAGCCAGATATGGAACACTGGATACAGAACTCTGAGCACAAACATTGACAACGTTCTAAATAAAATCTATATTCTATACCGTATAAACATCTGTGTGGCTGTAAAGTACATGACAATAAAAAACCTTTGTAATCCCCCTTATTGGCATGTACAGGTATTTTTCCTGATTAAGACTAGTCTCTGTGGAACCAAGACTGCTGCTCCATTCTCAGAACATTCATAGTGGTTCTTGCTAAAACAGTTTTATAAAATTTCACAAGCCATAATTTTTAAGTTTACACAGGTATTTCCATACACTGTAAAAAATGAAATGTTGGATTTACTTAACCATGTTATGTTACCTGGTTCCACTTAACTGAGTTGAGTAAATTCAAAGCAATATACCAGTTATTTAACCAAAGAACATGAGTATGTCGCTTTGAATTTACTCAACTCAGTTAAGTGGAACCAGGTCACATAACATGGTTAAGTAAATCCAACATTTCATTTTTAGAGTGTAGAATTCTGTTAGTATTTAGAGGAGTAAACGCAGCAGCAGCTAGACATAGCACTACAGATACAGTCTGAGCCAATTTTAGCAAGACTATTTTAAGATTTCTGCAGATATAAACAGGGTTATGTGAAACTGATGGTGGCATAACTGCTTTTAAAATGAGTCCACTTTTGTGTAAATACTTGCCACTTCAGCAAATTTCTCATGTTTAGTTTTGCGCATTGTGGTGGTGACTTATATTAAAATCCTTCACGACAGACTGTCTCTGAGCAGATTAAACGCATAAGTTTGCCTTGAAATTTTGTGAACAAATATTTTACATCCCAAAAAAGAAAAAAAAATCTATGCATTTTTATTAATTTGTTTTACTTTGAAAAAAACACTAAGCACAGCTCTTAGATTGTAAAAGCTGCTTTAAATGTATTTTTAAGCAAAAAAAAAAAAAAAAAATAGAGTGAGGGGGATTGGGTGGGGCTCATTAGATAGATGGTAAAAGCTGCTTTGAGTGCTTTTTTTAAGTAAAAAAAGTGGGGGTTTGTGGGGGGGGGGTCATTAGAGGGTGAGGCAGAAATCACCTACAGGCCATGTTCGGCCCACAGACTTCCAGTTGCCCATTCCCGACTGAATCATATCAATGCATTTCAATGCAATGTAGTATAACATATTGTCAGGGTCTGGACTTGCTGGTTTCTTAAACACGGCTTGTGTGATAAAAAAATGAAGCTAAACTTGTTTTTTGTAAGCAGCAGTGGTGCACTATGGTCTTTGCCTAAGTAGCATTTAGCTCCAAACTGAGGTCAGCCGAACACTATAAGGTAAAATAATCAAACTTATAACCATTCCCCCATAATCCCCACTTCAAATGATGGGAGATATTCCTTTAAGAGCAAGCATCCTTAAAATAACAAGCCGTTAGAGACTAAACCTACTGTGGCACCTATGTAAACAAGATATCTTTGCACAATAACAAACACAAATGCACCCTTACAGTTGTGTCCTCCAGCGTTGCTGATTTTCAGAGCTGTCAGGTTAGAAAGGAGAAGCTGGAACTCAAAGGCGGAGAGATGCGGCTTGAATCTCTTCTCATATTCATGGAGTCTGTAAAAGAACAGAACAGGTAACATCATTTACAATGAACTGGGGCAGCACTTGCGCCAGCTGTGATGAAACACCAGTTTTATTGCATGTTAACAGTAAAAGAACAGCACAACAGATTTATTAACAACTTGTGCTTTCAAAGCAATTCTATGGCTCACATGCCATTTAAATGTGCTTCTTTTTTGAGTATTATATTTTAAATAAAGCCCAACTAGTCGACACATGGAGTGGAGAGGAAAAAAAATGTAAATGTGCTGACTGCAACATATATTCAGGGTCTTGATCACTGAGCTTTGCCATCTGCTGAAGGATGCTCTGCAAAGTCAGGCAGCACAGCTGACATCTGCCTGTTTTACTCCAAGAATCCTGCATTTTTTTCTACCTTGATGACAGGTGCAGTGTCAGCTCCACAACACTGATTTTGTACTGCAGAAAAAAATATACTCACTTATTCCTCCTAAAGAGATAAAAGAAAGACGGATAAGAAAAAAAAAAACTTCACATTCTAATTTATACTGCATTTACAAAATCCTGGCAAACAAGAATACTAAAAACAGAAGTGGGTTTTAACGAGCAGATTGAGCTAATTACTTAAATTAAACTGATCAGCTGTGTTATGAGTTCCTTAGTTTTTGTGTCGTTCTTTAAACCCTGCCGTCGAACTCAAAGTACTTGGTTCACAATGAAGCATTTTAGTAATTAGTTCATGTCTTTCACAGATGTCTATGATCCTTAAAGTCTAGTCAGTTTTGAAGAAATGTTCTAGATCAGTGGTTCCCAAACTTTTTTATCTTCTGACCCACAAAATGAACATGGCAAAAACTTGTGACCCCAAATATTACTGGTCTGAGAACACGAACTTCGTTAATAACCCTAAAAACACAGGCTTTTTGACAATCTAAACAGCTTGTACACACATATAAATATTTATTTTTACTTATTTTGTGTTTTTGTAATAATTATAGGATAAATATTACAGCAGAAATTATTTTATTACCCTTTAAATTGATTTCTGGAGATTATCCAAGGTGCTTCATGACCCATAATTGGTCAGTTTTTGGAGGATAAACATTTGTATCAGGTCAACTAAACATGGGCATAGTAACAATATTTTTATACTACATTTATCCATTTTAAATATACTAACCTCACTCCTTTGTAACAACTAAGGCAAAAATGTAATTAATTCAGAAAATAATTTCAGGACCCCACCTTGACATTTTGGGACCCGGTCCCGACCCCAACTTTGGGAAACACTGTTGTAGCAAACAGTTATCAGCAGAACTTTATCAGCTGTGACATCACTAAAAGAGCATTGAGTTCAGAGAAGGAAGCAGAAATCCTCATCCAGAACAGGTTAATGGCTGATGAGGTATTAACTATTGAAACCATCACTATTATACTATATTACTATATACAGAGCATCACTTCAAAATCGACTAAACTATCCCTTTAAGGCCCATTTCACAACAAGTGACCTACACTCCCCATGACATCAGTGATCTATTAGAATGTGGAAAATCTGGAAAACCTCCTTTACTGTGAAGTCTTTGATGATAATGCAACACTCCTTTAGTTCTCTCTAAATAGGGTTTCCTCTGCTTTTTTCTGTGTCCTCAGTTTGCTTTCCTGTATTTTCAATCACTACGGCTATGTTCTCACAGCACTACCGCAACTGCCCACAATCAAACCACACTCAGGTTCTGTCCTGGCAAGACTCTACAGGATCATGTCAAACAGCAGCTAGGTACTAAAAGATCACTCCTGGCTAACACAATATGGGGTGTGATGTAAACTTAAGGCCTGTGGGCCAAATGTGGCACACCATGGCATTTTATGTGACTCGGAAGAGTTTCAAAGAAGTACTAATGTCTTGAAATAAACATATCCTGCTTCATAGCCAGCAATGACTATAAATTGAAACTCCAGTAATGCATGTCGTGTTATTTTTACCTGCGAAATGATGGCATCCCACCTCTAAGTGGAGGTGCATAGGGTTCAAAAGTAGCTGGCAGCCTGCAGCTGTTGAAATTTGCAGTGTAAAATATCCATGCTGCAGCCATGTTGTTCTGGGAAGTGAAAATTTTCCCCGTACGAGTTGTAAATTTAAAGTGGAACATGCCTCCATAGGGAATTCCCTGTTGGGAAGTGGGAGAGTTCAGAATTCAATAGGGCAGGTACTCACCACAAGTCAATAGTGAGTAAAACTCTTAGCTTTTGCTTTCAATATTTTGTTTATTATTTAGTTCACATTTACTCAGTTGTACACATAATACTTTTAAAATGCTGTTTTGATGCAGGAAATACCAAGTAGAGCTCAGTTATTGTTTGTCAGCAGTGCTCAGCCATAGCAATGAGATGAGGAATGAAATGTCTTGTGTTTAGTTGAAGTTAAACATAATGTGTTGAGGTTAATTACAACTGGCCATTTGAAAGCAACTAATGTTTATGAGGCCATCTGTAGAAATAAGTCTATAGGCTTGGCATGAGGCCAGTATGGTCAGTTTTAAGTGAGCAAGTCCCATATGATGGATACAGTAAGTAAGTAATTAATTAAGTAATTAAGTAAGTAAATAAATAAAATTTTATCTATATATTTCTAAACAAATTCACAAGATGTTGCACAGTCATCAAAAGTGTAAGAATAACAGTAATTAATAAACATGAAAAAGGAATCCAATCAAAATAAATTGTATGAATCCAACAATAAAACATCAGTGGACTGACAGAAAATTTCCATCCCATAAACAGGTCAGCAGCAGCAGCACTAAACCGAAAAAATTAAACGAAAATAGAAAATAAAACAATACAACAATAGATCCAAAGACAAAATACCACAAAATCAAGAGAGAAATCAAGCTTTAAGTAAAAGTAACAGGCAGCTTTTAGGCCCAAACTGCATCCAACCAAACCTAGTTAACAGAATGATTGCTTATAAAACAAGGTTTTAAAGCCCTTCTGAGTCAATATCATTTAGAAGAAAAGGCCCAGTAACCTCGGACCTTAAATGTGTGTGCAAGGAATGACTTAGCAGATTCTGATCTTGAGGATCCAGGCAACAAGTAGATTTATGTGGAGAAAAAAATAAATGAACAAATAAACATGTCCCAAATTTAACTAGGTGCCTGATACAGTGCCGCCATTATCTCACACATCCACCCAGAACCCTGATAAGCTGTCACAATATTAATAAATCACCACAATCTCAGACACTTGGTGCATGATCAAAACCTTCCACAAACTATGATGTACTACCACGCACTGTAAAATCTGTTTTTACCGATTTTTTAATTTAACTTAATATTAAACATATTTTTAATAAACTATTAGGAAATTTGTTGAGATAAATTGTAAATATGAGTTAAAAACATTGATTACAAAATGCTAACATGGATTTTTTTAAGTCTAATTGTATTTTCTTAGCTCTGTCCCTCCCCCTCCTAGCTCAGGTTATGCTATTTTGGTTGGACTTGAGACAGTTTCTGCATCGTTTTCAGGGTTAAGGAATCTATCATGATAAAGTGTTTTGTCGTATCCTGAGAACTTTATTTTAAAATGCCCCAGTAGTTATGCTGAAACAAACTTTTAGGTTTAATGTAATATTTAAATCCAATCAGCTAATGTCATTCAACCTCACATGCAGATAGGTCAGTTATACTAAGCAGTTTAAACAATTAGATTAACTTAAGTAAAACAAAGTTTAGACAACTTACTAGCTATTAATCAGAAATAGTGACACTAGTTCAAACAACTACCTAATGAGTTTGTTCATTAAAATCAGCCATGATAGCATGTATGTTCACACAGAAAGGGCATTTTAATTAGACAACATTAAACAATGTTAGAAGTGAGTTTACACAACTTCACTCACATTTTAAAGCTGAACCAGCATGTTTCAATTCGATTACAATGTGTGTAATGGGGAACCTGCTGCATTTTTCACACACAGGATGCAGCTTTGCGCTAGAAGATGCTAGAACACTTTGCCAATATCCTGCAAAGCCCATTCACACTCTGGCTGAAGTTTGCCGCGGGTTTGTAATTTACTGTGAAAAGGCACTTTATTTAGCACCAAGCAGTATTACACAGGCCAATTTCAGATTTATTTGGAAATGTTCAACAATTTTTTGTCATATTTTTTCTACTTTAAATGTAACACCAGGGTGTGTTTAATAAAAGGTGACTGTAAAGTAGGTTTTGAACAGTCAATTTTAAAATATTTTTTTGAAACTTGTAGCTATTCACAGAAAATCAAATCCATTCCTAAAAGTGTCACTAGAATCTTGTGCACTTCTGACGTGGCTGTAGAAATTTCTTTGAAAACAGCAGGCCTGATTCTCACCATTTGCATTTATTCACATACAGCATGTGTGCATACATCCATGGCTTGCCACACACACAGACGTGCTTGATGCGGTGGGGTCCTTGTTTCCTGGCCTGACATGTAGGCATGGTAATAAAGAGAGGCAATTACAAACAGGGCCTCAAAGCCATGGTAATGGAGCTGGTCAGACAGCGATAAGCAGAGTGTGCATGAAAGTGAACAAACTCCCAACCGTGCTTTCCCTATGGAGTGTCAGTGTCCCTTTTAATCAGCACCAAGCAGAGCGCAGAGAGCCAGACAGTAATTAAACGCGTTCTGCAGAGGATGAGAGGCGATCATCAGAAGGGAAAAAACAAAAGAAAAAAAAAACCACTGGACGCACAAGCAGAAACACAAGCACCCCCCAAAACAGATAAGACCAGTGTTGTATAAAGTACCTCAAAGTGATACTTGAGTAAAAGTACAAGTATCTTATCATAAAATAATTTGGTAAAAGTTAAAGTCTTCTCTAAAACTATTACTTGAGTAAAAGTCTTAAAGTATCTGATATTTTTTGTACTTCAGAATCAAAAGTAAATTTCTAACACAAAATCTACTTCAGTATTAAAAGTGAAAGTACTGAGTAAAAGTCAGCAGTTAGATTTTCCAAAATCACATTTATTGGGAGGTGACTTCT